TTCAAGCAACGGTTGCGGTTCGAGGAGCGAAGTGAGGCAGAGGAACAGGGTGATATATCGACGAGATATTCATCAACTCGTACGTGTCATCTAAAGCTGCTGCGTCTGCGTTCCTTCGAATAATCACACCATATCAGGCTGCAACCTGGTCTCCCGCCAGCGAGCGGGGTATCGGTGTGGGCCGTCTGGTGACGTTCTTGACCGACTCAGCTAGTACGTGTACTCCTCCCTCCTGCTCTCTGCATTCTTACTGATCACCCGCCTAGACAGTAAGGAGAGATACTGTCGTTCCCGACGGTAAAGCCGGGCTCCACCGCGGCTAGCACTATAGATCCTGTCGGACCCCTTGAGCAAGTGTGAACATCCGTGGCGGTTCCATCCTATCCGTAAACCCTGCCCAAGGTGTGACTGGCCGCTAAAGCCGAATACTCGACGTCTCGGCGCTTAGCGGCGTCAACGGACCGAAGCGCTGCAATAGTGCGCATTGCGCAACATCTATACGGAAAACGCCTCGCTCTTCTCACGCACATCAGGTGGCCATGAGGTGGCAGGCTTGTAGAGCCAGGCGAAGGACACTTCTCTTGATGTAACCCTCCGGGGTCGACCTAACGACGTCTTCCTCGCGTTCGTTACGAATTTCTAATCTTTCGAGATACGTGCCATCGAACTCTTCGGTATCGCAACAACAAATCCTGTTCTTCGTCACTGCTCCCTCACCCTGCCCAAGCTCTGGCCGGTGGGCGTGGCGAAAGATGAAGCCACGCTCGTCACTCCGCGCGCTCTTGCCGGGTTCGACGACGTTTCGGCGCGCGAATGGCTCGAGCTCACCGGCGCTGGAAGCGGCAGGCGCGTCTGCGCTCCCTCGACAACGACGGCGCCTTCTTTACGCAGCTGCAGACCCTCTCCATTTTCCATGCGGTGAGGTGGCAGCATCTCTTGGTACCTGCCGTTGGCCCTATCTATGTGGTGCAACCTGAGCGGAGAGTCGTTCGTTTACTCTGGGAACGTCGGAAACGCGGCCTTGGGCCTGCTCGTCTCAATATCAGACAAAACCATTCGGAGGAGGTGGATGATATTGTGATATTTGACTGCTACGACGAAGACGGGTTCACGAACAGAAAGCGGACGAGGTTGAAGACAGGGCTAGCTTGAGACGATGATACATAGCGGAGCGAGGTTCATCTGCGTCTTGGGTCACGGTATCGAGAACAAATACATACCTACTAGTGTATCATTAACCTAGCTTCTCCCTGTCCGGAGGTCGACCATCGTCCTATATATGCTCGCATATCGCCTCGTCTTGCGCGGTAAGGGGTATGCAGGGTCCTGCATGGGCCCCATAAGTACACGGGGTCTTGCTCTCTCTCCACCGCTGACCTTCAATATTTGCACTTGCCTTAGCCTCCAACAACTTGCAATCCTTCTTCATTTCTGCAATGATTTCTCGGTATATAACATGTCTAACGACGCCAAAAACTTGCGAAAGGTTCGAGTCGGAGGCGAACGAAGGGTCTAGGCGCTACTGAGATCCACTCAAATCTGGCCGTTTTTTGAGCAGGCCACGGGTTAGTTTTCCTGGGTTGCGACGCGCATATAGTTAGTGAAGTACTGCCATTGGCACATAGACTTACTATCTTTGATGATGGAATGGCCTCCGGTGTAGCTAGGAGGTCGAGTCGCGCCAGTAGTACGCACCGCTCGCATGGGGACGATCCATTGTGAAAGTCTCAGTTCGTGAGTGTCTTGATAAGTGCCATTTGGCTATTTGACTCATATTAATTATAGAGATTCGCGGTGGATATATGTTGTACATGCCAGGCTGCACTCAGGACCGAGCTATATCTCGCGGCCAAATGTCCCTGGGAATAGCATCGAAAAGGCCTTGTGACAGGGGTAAGTAACCTCATTTCCCCCGTCCTGCTCGTGGTGCCGGCGATGAGCCTTGCCTGTGTGCAATATTCGCTGTGGCTGTGAGATCAGAATTGGGGTTGCTTTGCTGCTGCTCAATCCTAGTACTGACTGTGCATGCCAGACGCGTCATTACTGAAGTCCGCAGTGGCTCATCCTAACTGTGTGCGCCACTGCTGGGATGTCGTCTAAGTGAGCTCATCGGCGATGACTTTATGCCAGATAGCTGATCCTGCCATGACAAAGGACTCATTCCGGGCCTTTCATGTCGGTGAAACTCCGCTCCTCATCTCAACCTGCTAGCTCCAAAAGCTACTCATCTGGACACACCCAGACTCCAAGTTGATCCGGGGCTCGCTTTCCCCTTCATCCTGGTGGCGTGCGCAAGGGATCAGCGCAGCGACGACATCGACGTCACTCTTGCACGGCCACTGTTGCATTACGATCTGCATCCGTGCATGGGCTCGCGACCGCAAAGCTCACTTCAGACCGCTCATGTGTGAGTGCGAACGATGACGCAATTCCTAAAATCCTGCGCACTTCACGTCTCATGACACCTGTACGTACAAGTTCCGCAGACGGTGGAGTTTAATGCTCAGTCGACAGTTCTTCACAGCCATAGATGACGGCAGGATAATCTGCACTCCTACCTTACCCCTTCGAAGTTTTTTGGATATTTTTCGTTACTGAAGGTCTGCTCCGCGGTAGGGCCTTGGGCCCCGCATCAGGTCCTCAATGAGACTTCGCGCGAGGCAAAAAGAGAGTTCAGAGGTGCGGCAATAACCTGGGCGAGCGATTGTCGATACTAATGCCGCGGCGCGGCAGGATTAGGTTCACGCCGTCGAAGAGGTGTCTGCACGTTATCTCCGAACCCTCGGGAGACCTTTCCTAAAGGCGCGCTGGCAATGTGTTTGGCGCGTTTCGCGTGCGTCCCTTCAACACTTCCACGGTACGAGATCATACCCGTGTATGTGCCTCCGGATACCTGACGTGCCGCGTATCTGTCTCATGTCCATTGCTACGAATGGACTTTGCAGGCTGGAGGCCGAACAAGCCACTCCAGTGGCCCCAGCTTGTGTTGTCTCGCGCCGCATAGGATGGTATACAGTATCGCTGCGCGTGTGCATGTCGGCCGATCACCTTCGGTGCTTTTTCCATGAACGCCCCCTGCCTGCAATCTTCCGGCGCGAAGTTAGACCTAGGTTCCCATACGCGCTGAACAGCCTTGCCCACCTTCTCGTGCTATGGGCGGCATTCAGCATTCCCCTCTATCGGCTTCACTGACCGTTCTCCGTATCGGCCTTCCTACGAATGAGTTCTCTGGATATTGACAAAGCGCCTGGCGCGCTCAAATGAGATCCCAGCCATTGGCACAGCGCAGCCCTGATCCTAGGTTCTCATATCGATAGGCTGGCCCGGGATAGCCTACTGGACGCACTCCAGTCGTTGGCTCCGCTGCTACGTGGTCGATGGTATTCCAGTCTAGGCTCTTCCGGACAATGGGCGACGCATCCACAGACTCACCCACGGCCCCAAGGCTGGATTCGCTGGCCACACTGTATGAGCGCTGTGCGTCATTTCGTAACGTGTTCAGTACCCTAGGGAGACCCTTAGGGCTTGATCACGGAACGCCAGCCCTCGTTCATTTGTGTAGATATCCAGCTTCATTTCCAGCATCCTAGGATTGATCTCGTTCATACAGGGTCTGTTTGCTCCACGCTCGCCATTTCATGAAGCCAAGACCGCAGTACTCTGCTTGGGTCCCCGAAGCTCGAGCTAGTCAAGTAATTTCCTTATGGGCTATTCTGTTCCTTGGGCTAACAATGTGCTACAGGTTGCGACTGCTGTACGCCAACTGATGTGTGTTGATGCAGTTCCGATTCAGCTGGCCCAAAGCGCAGCGCCTTTCCAGAAAGTGTCTCTACGGATATGGTCGCTTGAGACCCTGGGCAGCTATAAGGAGCGAATCGCCGAGCGTACCGGCGTATTGCCGTTGCCTCATCGATTCGCCTTGGTCGCAGGACTACCCCAGACCACACCCCAGATTCCTTCGTCTCCAGCCAACGCTAATCGGCTCATTTGCGTCCACCTCCCCTCGAGGACCACAGGACATTGCAGGCGTGGGCGGCACGGATCAGCAGGACATCAGCAGGCGTCAAGTGGTTTAGGGCAGGGCGGACTTAATAGACCTGCCTTTTCTGGGTGGAACGTGGCCGTCCCCCGAGAAATTTCTCGCGAGTGCGCTCACACTTGTGCTTCCAGGGCCAGGCAGGACCTCGTGTGCAAGTGCCCTATCTTCGTACTGGCTTGCTCTCCCTTGCGCTGACTTCATCTTGCGACACCCACCTTCACCTGGCACTCTCACCCTGCCATGGCGCCCCCGCCCCCACCGCCGCCGCCCCCGCCGCCCCCACCGCTGTGTCTTCCGTTCGGGAAGAAGAAGAAGCCGCGCCGACTTACGTACTCCGACAGAGATGGCGGGGAGTCGTACAACTCGCAGCGCTCCAGCATTCAGCGACTCCAGAGTCTGCAGCGGCAGGGATCATACTCGCCTACCGCAACGCTCGCGTCTCATGCCGAGAAGTTGTCCTTTGATACAGATAGCGAGCAATACAGCGCTGTTCCGTCATTCCACAACGAGGCGCGGGAGGTTAAGCCGGTCCTAAAGCGTTCCAACACTACCGCCAACGCTAAGTCGAACAAAGCGAAGGAGATATCGAACAACGGAGGAGGGTCGAAGAAATGGGGCTTTGGATACGGTTGGGGAGTAGGGAAGATGGAGAAAGAGAAAGAAAGAGAACGGGAATTCGAGGGGCGCGCGCAGCAGCCTTCACTAGACCTTGATCCCGAGTCAGATGGCTCACACCCGCCGATCTACCAATCCCCCTTTGGATCGTCTAGTTCTATGAACTCTCAACAGTCTCCGATAGAGCACGACGGCGCGCATCCGCAGCACATGCAGACGCGGCAAATAACCACAGACCTTGCATCTTTGTCTTACACCAACCCCGCCGGGAACAAACACTCGCGCTCAAACACCTTCCGCTCGCACGCTTCGGGCTCGAGTGGCCGCAGCGGGCAGAGCAGAGGGAGTGGGTCCGGCACTCCGACCTCTGCTCGAAGTAAGTTCACCGAAGTTATTGACCAAGCCCCGCCCGCTCCTGCTGCTGCTGTCGACCTACACCGGCGACCGACATACCAATCGACTGGCTCGTCTAGCACACTAGTCGGTTCCGCGCTCGAGAGAAAGATCAATGATCAAGACACGTACCAGCCGCACGACACGACCGACCGACTGAACGCTCTTCGGGAATTGATGAAGAAAGACAATTTGGATTACTAGTGCGTATCCTTACTGAGTATTTCTCTCGTAATTAACTAATAGACTGGATACCCGTTCCCAGTGTTATCCCCAGTGAGGACGCTCATGGTTCTGAATATGTCGCCATCAGCGACAAGCGTCGAGAATGGATCTCTGGGTGAGTTCTTGGCCTGACTTGAGTTTCATGATCTAAATGTTGTTTTATATAGCTTCACCGGCACTGCTGGAATAGCCATTGCCTCCAAGACCGCCGCATATCTCGTCACCGACTCACGGTACTGGCTTCAAGCCCGTACTCAGCTTGATAGCAACTGGAACTTAGTCGAAGGCGGCTCAGTCGGCGGACCTACCGACTGGATCGACTTCCTTGTCAACCGCGTCAAGGACGCGCGTATCGGTATCGATGCACGGATGCTTGCACATGAGAAGGCGCTCCTTCTCAACTCTCAGTTGCAGGCCAGGGGGTCAAAATTGTTCTACCCGCCGCAGAACCTCATCGATCTCATCTGGAAGGAGAAGCCTCCACGGTCGAAAGAGCCTGTATACGTTCAGCCAATGAAGTACACTGGGATGGAAGCGGGTAAGAAGCTCGCTAAGCTGAAGGAGTGGATCAAGGAACAGCCACCTACGGTGCCCAGCTATTCCAAGACCCCGCCGACTCCTGGCCAGATGCAGGTTGGGACGCTAATCTCCAATTTGGCTTGCATTGGTAAGTCACTCGCCCGGTCGGTGAGGCGTTATTTGCTGATTACATCATCCAGCCTGGTTACTCAACCTCCGCGGTGACGACATCCCTTTCAATCCCCTTTTTCACGCGTATCTGTTTGTATCGGTCGAACAGACTGTTCTGTTCGTCGATACTGCGAAGATAACAGACGGCGTCGACGAGTACCTCAAAACGCTAGGTGTCCAGCGGCGTGACTACAATGACGTCTGGACATTTATGCGAAGGAAAGAGTGGGGTGACGGCCGCGTAAGGAGTTTCATCTCGCTCGTTTCTATCGCTCTTCGCTTACTCGGTCTTTCAGATTATCATTACGCCGCAAACGTCCTACGCGATATCTCTGATGTTGACATCCTATCGATACACCATCCTGCCCTCGGTCATCGAGGAATGGAAGGCCGTGAAGAACCCGGTGGAGCTCGAGGGCCTCAAGGCGGCCTACCTCCGAGATGGCGTCGCGTACGTCCGCTGGCTGGCATGGCTCGAATACAAGATGAGCCAGGGCTACAGCATCACGGAGTACGAGGCGGGTTGGCGGCTGACAGAGTTCCGGAGGATGGGCAAGAATTACAGGGGTCTTGCGTACGAGAACATCTCGGCGACAGGCGCTCATGCCGCGCTTCCGCACTACGTTCCGCACAAGAAGGACGACATCATGATTGAGCGAGACACGCCATACCTGAAGTGAGTCGACCAATTTTCGTCTTTATGTGAGTGGACGCTCATTGAGGTACCCCAGCGACTCCGGAGGGCAGTACTGTGACGGGACGTGCGATACTACACGGACAATTATCATCGACCGACCGACGCCAGAGATGATCGAAGCGTACACTCGCGTTTTACAGGGCCATGTAAGTATTATCGATATTAAATGTGACTTCGCCTGACGTGGTGGCAGATTGCAATTGACAGCGCTACCTTCCCTGAAGGGACAACAGGCAAGCAGCTTGACGTTTTGGCCCGTAAGGCGCTCTGGAAGGATGGCCTTAACTACATGGTTAGTCTATCTTTGCTCTAATATTGCGCGTTTTTCTGGACTTACCGCGGTAACTACCATCTTAGCACGGCACCGGGCATGGAGTCGGATCATTCCTCAATGTGCACGAAGGTCCCCACGGTTTCTCGAGCGACGTCGCTCTCGTGCCCGGGCATGTCACTACCAATGAGCCTGGCTTCTGTACGTGGACACTGTTCGTTCCATCTTCCTGCTGCTGACTAAGCCTCCAATAGATAAAGACGGACATTGGGGCATGCGCATCGAGTCGGCGCTGTTCGTAAAGCGCATTACGGTACGTCCGTTCGGACTCGCGTATGCAGGGCGGCTCTAACTTTAACCCCTAGACAAAGCACGAGTTCAACGGGCACATATGGCTCGGCTTCGAGCGTCTGACGTGCGTGCCCATCCAGACGAAGATGGTCAGCCCGGACACGTTGTCCAAAGAGGAGAAGCAGTGGGTTAAGGTGCGTTCGCTCGGTATAGACTGCACGGCCTGGCGACTCAAGCGCTTCCGTGATACAGGACCACAACCGCCGCTGCCTGGAAGTTCTTGAACCCTATCTACGCGAAGACAAGCGCGCTTTGAATTGGCTCAAGCGCGAGGCCAATCGCGAAATTGGCCTTGCCAAGCCCCTTACCAAGGGCTTTGCGATAGACTGGGATTGAGTCTGCGACTCATCCTTTTTCCACTGTTCGCCGCGGACGGATGGTATATATATATTCACTTTGTTTATAATGTGCTTCGCTCTTTCGTCTTTCTCAGTCCCTCGCTTCTCGTTGCTATCTTGATCTGTATACCCCATAGCTTATGCTCACGTAACTCGACATGCCACAGGGCGTGGCGGTTTGTCGTCCACAAACTATCCCCTACTCCCGTCTCTTCCTTCTTTATTTTATTACCCCGTCTCTGATTTATTATGCCATCTCTGGCTATGGTCATTTTCTTCTCTGTAACAGTGCCCTCGACTTCCTCGTGTAACAGACTTTGCGCTAGATAGGAATATATGACATTACGTGCTTTCGTGATAGTAATTCTAATAGCAATGCTTCGGCATCGCGATCATGATTGTATATGCCGTGGCCGGTTTGCCTTGAATCATCAGTCAAATGTTGCGGCAGCAATGGCAGTAACTTAGCTACTCAGGGTTTAAGATATATATCGCCTACATCGTGTGAATGCTCACGTCAAACAGTGTGTGTACAACAGCGTTCACGTTTACATCTCCACAATCTCCAGGTCTCACTGTCCACGGCCACCGGATATCCAATGACAGCGCAGACAGCTTCCAACAACGATCGATAGGCACCAGGGCCCCAGTCCTGATCCGAGGGGAGGGGGGGTCCGGAACCTATGATAGGCCCACGGAGGCCAGGTGCTGTCGCATGATAGCCTCGCCAACTGCGCTCGGTCGAAACCGCGTCAGAGAAGATCCAGGGGGAAGGACAGACGGAAGAGGCCGCGCACCGCTGATGATAATTGATTGGGTCGCCTTGATGTCGAGCATCGAGGTGAAGTGCTGGGGGCGCGCGGACGCGCGGGGATATTAAGACGGGCCCAGGGGCGAGGAGGCGTGGGCGTACCGTGTACAGCACCCGGTGCCAGACGTCCTTCCGGCGGTGCGTCTGGATGAAGTGCGCGCGGAAGTACTCGGAGACCTCGTCGTAGGTGTTGGGCCTATCGCCGTACGAGGAGATGCTGCTCGGACGGTCAGCTCAGGCTCGCACTGCCGCCGCGTCGCGTCGCGCCACGCACTATTTTCGTACTCTGATCCCTGCCTCGAGCTTCTTCCTCAGGAGGTCTGCCTGTGTGCGGCGTCGCGGGTCAGTGGTGAGTATGCGCTGCATTGGTGGGTGGGTACACCTTGTTGAGCATCAACACGAGCGCGGCCTTGGCGAGAAGCTTGTTCTGGCAAATCGTCGTGAACAGCTGCAATGAATCGTCGATCCGGTTGGTGCGCGGATCTTCTTCGAGGTACTGCAGCGTCCAGCGCCGGACGCACACGAAAGAGCCCGCGAAGGCTGCTGGTGAGCTCATCGCCGTCAGTGGGAAGAGTCACGCGTACCTGGTCGAACGCACTCATGGGTGCGAGGAATATTATCGCCGTCGCTGCATAAGGGCAAATGAAACGTTCGCGTGAGTAAGATGGGCCGGGAGACTAGCGCGAAGCGTGAGGCATGAGGCTTCGCCTGCCCCTGCCGAGAGCGGCGACTGCATTTGGGTGAGAAGCAGGAAGAGCGGATGCCCGACGCGCTGGCCTGCGCAGCGTAGCAACAATGAGAAAACGAAGCCCGAGCTGCTTACCATCTTCGAAATATGGCACCCACGCATGCCGCTAATTTATCAGTGCCCAGGTAGTGGGCGAAGCTCAGCAAATGGTGGCAGTAGGCGTGTGAAAGGATGCACTTGCCTGGCCGCGCTAAAAGCAGGAATGGTCACGGTCAGTGAGTCATCAACGGATATGACACACAGGCGGCAGCACGTACGGCACCACCAACGTCGTACAGCAGCCAATTGAACCGTACTCCCCCGATGTCAATATCGAAGGAATGTTCCGTAACACCGAGGGTCTGGAGACGGACGTGAAGTATATCGTCTGGGCCAGTCAGCGTTCGCTGTGGAGCGCGATCAGAAGCCGTAGAGCGCGTACCTGTTGAAGGCGAATAGTCTGCCTGCACTATCCTGTGAATGTTATCAAGGAAGCTAGAGCGGACAACGTGTCAGCCACGACGCAATTAAGGTTGTGTCCTCAGCTCAGGCACGTACAACGCCGCTGGCTCCTCGAGCCGTACCCTCTGCGAGGCGACCAGCTGGCGGACGAGCGGGTGGGTCCAGAACTGCGCAATGACGCCCTGGGCCTGTAGCAGGGATCCCGCAACCTGATTCGTCACCGCAGTCGGCCGGTTCGCCGCGTCGCGAATATCTGTGAGAGGCCAGGCACGGTTCGGAGTTATCAGAGCCTGCCAGCCCGCGCGCACGTAGACCCCCGACCGCCCGCCACTGACCTTGACGCCGCCGGAAAGCTCGGACGCCAGCGCGTCTTCCTGGGCGACGACGGATTGGAGTGTCGGAAGCAAGGGGAACAGCTCAAGCGGGTAGGCGGACTCGGCGCTGGACAGCGGATCGGAGGACGCAGGGGAGCTTCCTAGGATTGAGCTCGTGCCAGGCGTAGATCCAGGGCTCGAGGTGCCTGAACCGTATCGTCGGTCAAGTTCGTCCATAAGCATGCGGAGCGCCTTGAGGATATTGGAATAGACAATCGGTCGCCATAGTGGTTTCTCTCGGTCGAGGCTGTGAGAGGCATAGTAGAGCTGGAACTGCTTCTGTAGAGTCGACTTGCCAGATTCTGCTTGGCCGAGAAGCATGACTGGGGGAAAGCCATGGTGAGCACAGGAGCAGGAGATAAGCTTCGATGAACGTCAGGAAAAGAGGAAGACAGAAGCGAGGCGGCAGCAGGTGGCCGAAGACAAGGTGCCTTGTGCTCTGCACTGCGACCGCACTGACAGTGATATCTATTGGGCAATTAATCATTCGGTTGCCGCATGCCCCATCCACCCTAGTAACGGGACAGCAGCAGGGCGTGAGCATGGGCCTTTGCTTCGGTAGCAAGCACGGTCGACCTCGGAGGGCCGCGCCCAGATTACCCACACATTGACCACATATTGCGCACGTAAGAGGGCAGCGCATGAAAGGCGGGGCCCCGTGCGGAATTCCTAGCAAACACTTTACGCAAAGGGCTTTAGCCCGACCAATGGCCTACCTTTTACCTCTCTGCCTGCTTTCTTCTTGCGCAGTTCTCTTTCATGCTATCTCAACATCTGCTCAGTCGAGTATCGAGGACGGCTGGTCAAGAGACGTACCCGTAGCTCCTCGTCGATGGCGTTTGAAATGCGTATAGCCTCCTCATCGCCGACTGGAACCTCGTCAGCATGATAAACCGAGATGCTTGTTCTCCTGGGCATAATTGGGTCGAGGCCGAGAGTGTCAGTCGCAGAGGACGAAACGCAGGGGGCACATACATTATATACATTAACGGACTGACGATATGTTAGGCGCTACAGAGGCGTCCCACGAAAGGACTCCGCTGTGATGGGAGAACCCAAGCAGGCGGCACTTATCCACTGCGAGCACAGCCGCTGATTGTCAGGCACACGCTCTCCCGTGCTTCTGGCTCCAGTCAAAGTTGCGAACAGGACATCTCTGGGAAAACTCTGTGCCCTTCGGCCACGCAGCCGCCGCTCACCGCATGGTCCACCTCGCTCGCCGCCGCGCCGCGCGCGCCCATCGCCCTCGCCCTTGCGCGTGTCACGATGGCAGAAGCAGCCCTCATCACGCCCAGAAACCACGCCCAACACGCAAGGCTGCGTCTCCCGCTCCCTTCTCGCTCAACAGTCGGAAATCAGACGTCCTGGTCGGGCCACGATCGTCCCCATCCGAGACTGCGACCAGCTTCCGGAAGCGTTTTGATCACTGTAATTGCAGAGACCTTGTGCTAAGCATCAGCCTGCTCCTAGTACGACTCGGACGGCAGTCATGCAGACGTACGTGGAGATGAAATAGATGCATGACACACTACGCCTCCCTCCACAACAAAGCTTAACGGCCAATTCTACTGTCCCCTTCGCGGCGCCCCGCCGATAGCCACGTCACACCACCTGTAAATGCCAGGGCACTACTCACGTTCGCCTTTCGCTACCGAACAGTCGCTGGCTAAGTGCTACATCCGAGCTCTTGTCGTCGAGGCGTCGCATGCGGCATTATCTGCCCTCAAACACGGGATCCTGCCCGCGCCACAATGGCAGCTGCATGCTTAAGGAAAGTCTCAAGGATCATTAGTTCTCCCTTGGTTGATTGCTGCTCGATCGCTGCAGGGCGTATGTGCAGTGGTTGCTTCTCAGATTGCGCAGCGCCGGCGCTTCCTTCGTGGTCCGGCCTACCGTGGTCCGCGCTGTCCACTGACGCCGTGATGGACGCCTCCTCGGTGTTCGAGACACCCCGTGCGCCATGTCCACTCTTCGCGTCATCTGCTTCGGCATCCGCTTATGGGATCAATTTGATAGTAGTAAAGGATGCATTGCCCCCACCATGTGCAAGAATCTTTCTCGTAGATCCACCGTGGTAACATCGGCACGATCCTCGAGAAAACTGCTGGTAAGATCGAAACCCGTTGGTAGAGCTTAGATACGCCCTGCTTCGCTGTTTTTTCCAGTCTCCTGGCTCGTTGTTGTACTCTGACGTCCATGGCATGAGCATCTTTGAACCGAGACATTCCACTTTTCCATATTCGTAACTTAAGCTTCCATACTAGGAGCCGCCGTCGGAAGCACTGATCTGATCTGACCCTAACCCTAATCCACAAGCTCAAAATTTCTGCAAGGTGAATCCTGGCGCTTTACGAGGCGGCGACTTCGACGAGCTCCTCACCGCCGCCACTGACGACAAAAAACCCAGGGCCTATTCATCCAGTCCTGCTTGACTCTCTATCCTTTGTACTTCTACTGTAATCATCTGCTAGAGTCAAGATGTCGACGAGCGGGTTGAAGGCGATCGCGCCAGTCCCTACGGCGGCGGACTTCCTCGACATTGTCCTCTCCAAAACACAGAGGAAGACCCCCACCGTCATCCACAAAAACTTTAAAATAAGCCGCATTCGTAACTTTTACATGCGCAAAGTCAAGTTCACGCAGGACTCATTTGACGAGAAACTCGGCGCTATCTTGGAAGAGTTCCCTATGCTCGATGTATGGCGGAGGACGCTGTGTTCATTAACGAGATGCTGAATGCATGGCTATAGGATCTGCACCCCTTCCTGGCCTCATTAATGAACGTTCTTTATGACAAGAACCACTACAAGCTCGCCCTTGGCCAACTACGAACAGCCAGGCATCTCATCGACCACGTAGCGAAGGATTATGTTCGCTTGCTCAAGTTCGGCGACAGTCTGTACCGGTGTAAGCAGCTGAAACGTGCTGCACTGGGTCGGTGCGTAGGCGTGTACTCCCGTCAAGGGGGACTGTTCTCATGATATTGCAGTATGGCGACCATCATGCGCCGCCAAAAGGACCCTCTCGCTTACCTCGAGCAGGTTAGACAACACATCTCCCGTCTCCCAGCTATCGACCCAACCGCCCGTACCCTTTTGATCTGCGGCTATCCCAACGTTGGCAAGTCGTCCTTCATCAACAAAGTCACCCGCGCAGACGTCGACGTCCAGCCATATGCCTTTACTACCAAGTCCCTCTTTATCGGCCACCTCGATTACCGCTACATGCGATGGCAGGTCATTGATACCCCCGGGATTCTCGATCATCCCCTCGAAGACATGAACACCATCGAGATGCAAAGTATCACTGCCCTTGCGCATTTGAAGGCTTGCGTCTTGTACTTCATGGATCTCAGTGAGCAATGCGGCTACACACTGGAGGCTCAGGTGCGCGAGTACTGTCTGTCCAGATGGGGACGATTCGCTCATCCCATGTGCAGTGCAAGCTCTTCCACTCCATCAGGCCCTTGTTTGCGAACAAGCCCGTCATGCTCGTCATGAACAAGATCGACGTTACACGGCTCGATGACCTCTCGCCCGAGAACCGCACTCTCGTTGACGAAATCATCAACAGCGAGGGCGTGCTCAACGTCCAGGTCTCGTGCTACACCGACGAGGGTGTCATGGAGCTCAAAAACAAGGCGTGCGACGCCCTGCTCGAGCACCGTGTCGAGGCGAAGCTGAAAGGCAACAAGGTCAACTCGATCCTCAACCGCCTGCACGTCGCGCAGCCGAAAGCCCGTGACGACATCGTCCGGGAACCGTTCATACCCGAGGCGATCAAGAACAAGCAGAAGTACGACAAAGGCGACCCCGAACGCCGGAGGCTTGAACGTGATATCGAAGCCGGGGAGGGTGGTCCCGGCGTGTACAACATCAACCTCAAGAGTGAGTCTTTTCTGCCTGTGCCGCGTGTGTACCGTAGCTGACACCGCATCTGCAGAGAACTGGCTGTTGGCCAACCCAGAATGGAAGGAGGATGTCATCCCCGAAGTCGTGGACGGCAAAAACGTCGCAGACTTTATTGATCCTGATATCATAGAGAAGCTGGAGGCCCTGGAGCGCGAGGAGGAGAAGTTGGAAGCGGAGGGCTTCTACGATAGCGACGAGGACATCGTACGCCTCACCGTAATCAGCCATAACCCCTACGCTAAATCTTTTTTGCTAGTTTGATTCCGAGGACGAGCGGGAAGCTGCCGAAGCCAAGGTCAACCTCAGGAAGAAGCTGCAGTCGCAGGGCACGAAGAAGGCGATGAAGAACGCCGCGAGGCTGCCGCGCACCGCCGGCCTGCGCACGCTGAGCGAGCTGACGACGGGGATGACCAAGGCGGGCCTGAACCCGAGCCGCATACAAGAGCGCGCGGAGATGCTCGCGAAGGTCGCCGGCGCGAAGCGGAAACGGCAGCGCGAGGACGAGGACGCGGAGATGGACGTCGACGGCAACGGGGAGATGGAAGGGGGCGCAGAGGGCGAGTGGATGGACGTCGACGAGGAGGCCGCGCCGAGCAAGCGGACGAAGGCGAACTCGGGCGCGGCCATCGCCAAGGCGGGGCGCGGGCCGAGGTCGAATCGGCAGCTCGCGGGCATGCGGGACGAGGCTGTGAGTGTTTGTATTCCCCGATCTTCGCTGTCGTTGCTGACCGTCTGCTGCGTTTTTACAGCAAGTTGCAAAGGCCGTCAAGCTACGGAACTTGGGTCAGAGAGAGCGGAACATGCACGCAAAGGCCGGAGAGTCCGACCGTGCGATCAAGGTCAAGATGGTGCGTCTGCCTACCGAACCTCTTCCCTCGTCTCGGCCACTGATCGCCGTCTTTTATAGCCCAAGCACCTCTTCTCTGGCAAGCGGAAGATGGGCAAGACCGATCGGCGGTAGTTTGCTGGATCTCTTCTTTCCGTCTTTTGCATTGTTTATACCTTGTTCACGAACATGGCACTCGCGCTTGATATACCTGCTTGCAGCTGCATACACTGGCAGTAAGCCGTAAGCCCAGGTTGCTATGTGTCATCGCCCCAAGGTAGCCTCCACATTCTCCTTGTGACTCCGTTTCCGTCGTAGCATTCAAACACCTCAATTCGTCTACGTCCTCCGAATAGTTCTACCCAATGGAGTATTCGCGAGTGCACGTGACTCTGGCGCCAGGCTTAGTATCTTTTGCGAGCAGACGCTGAGATATTGAAAGACGCGACTCGACAGCAGGGCTGTATCTCGAGATTCGGTTTGTGTCATCGTGATCGCTTGACTTGATGGTACTATGTCTTATAAAACTGCGGTGTTGCAGGAAGGATTTGTACCGCCAGCGTACACCAATACTGCGAATGATTCACCCGAATACACCTGCGCAAGCAGACGACCTTCTCAAGAGCATCGAGCGAGAGTTTGAGCGACTAGCATCCCAAGCACTTGCAATAAAATCGCAGCGCAATGCTCTCGTTCCTATTGGCCGCCTACCCCCTGAGGTGCTCGCCGAAATCTTCTACGAGCTAGTCTGCAGCTACGACGAGCAAACGTACGATAAGCCGCAGTATTGGTTGGCTGTCACATTCGTTTGCCGTGCATGGCGCGCTGCTGCACTCAGTGCCCCCCGATGCTGGAGTCATATCCACTTCCGCAGTGACGATTATGATCGCGTAACGACATTCCTCCAACGGTCATGCAGCGCTCCTTTGCAGGTCAGCATCAGTATGGAGCTGCCAACACCGATTCTGCAAGCTGTACTTGGGGCCATGCACCGAATACAAGATCTTTCCTTCCGTCTGTCGCCTGGCGTCATAGAACTCGCCGAGAAAGGCGACGGCTTTGCTTTCAATGCTCCCCGGCTTCGCCGACTCACAGTAAAATGCTGCATCCCGTCATCCAAAACACCACTCCCCACGCTTTCAAATGCTTCATGGCCCCTCCTCTCCAGTCTCGATTGTACAGGAGCATCGCTGAATGTCGTACAAGCCATGGTTCGGCCGACCTTGGCGGAACTCCGGGTCAAGGAGCGTCGGCCTAACACAATCAGCGCCATAAACTGGGTCAATATCCTAGGAGAATTACCTTCCCTGGAGAAAATTTACTTGGAAGCTGTAGCCCCTCTTGACGTTCCGCTTCGCGTCGTGCCAAAGCCAACCAGACAAGTCACGCTCCCCCGGCTCCGCACGTTAGACTTCACGGACCCCGGAAACGGTACCGCATGTGCAACCCTCCTTAACCACTTGGTCGTCTCAGCCGATACGTTGATGAGATTGCGGACATACAAAGACTGCATGAAGGAGGAGGCTGAGTACATCCTTGGTGCTTTTGCTGCCAAAGCATCTGGGAAAGACGCCCTAGGTGACCCACCGAGGCCCGCTCTTGCCATGACATTCGATACATGGCGGGCGAACGGGGTTTACATCGGCATATATGACGAGTACCTCACCACCGAGCGTACGACCCGAGACGGGCGCGAGGTACCGGGGCTTGACGACTACTCCCCGCGATGTGAGATCGCTATCGCAGGAACGGGTCACGATAGTAGCGACGTCCCAATACAGGTGCTCACGTCGTTGTATCCCCTTTCGAAGATAAACATTGTCGATATACGTACAACTCCCCTCAATATCAAGACGGAAGGAGTCTGGCAAGCAGTCTCGCAGTTGCCCGACGTCCGCGAGATTGAGATTGTGTACGACGATGATACTGCCGCCTCCTTCTTCAGCTTCATGGAGCGGAGCCCTGTGGCATTTCCCAAGCTCGAACAGCTAGCGCTCTCCGCATGGAAAAGAAGTTCCTGGAGCAAGCGCGAGAGACAGAAACTGGCCGACACTCTCATGTCGCTGCTAATACGGCTATCGGGCGATCGCAAAGAGCGCGGTATGGAAGTGAAGTGTCTTGACATCGACTTCGGTGGCGGCATGAGCTCCAAGGACAAGTCTCATCGGACTCTTTCGAAGCTGGGGGCGCTAGTTGGGGAGATAAGAGGCATTAGACAACTCCGAAGCCACGATGACGACAAGTAAATCGGGTAACATGGCGAGTAGGACGTGTCTCTTAACGCTGTGGCGCAACAAGCCATGTAAAGGCATAGTATTTGTGGTAGCCATGGTGCCTGTCTCGTATTAGCTCATGTGCCGTCTTTAGAGTGAATGCTCTACTTTCAGCTACACATGTGCTCGACGTGGGTTTCCCGTAGTACAATAGTTTCATGATAATCAATCCGCTCGAGCTATAGAAACAGGGTGTCCTCGCTGTGAATATATGATACACTTATACATTTAAGCAGCGTGTATACATATCCAAGAAAGTATAAACGTAATCAAA